GGGACCCAAGGGGCCCAGTGTGCACGGGAGCCCTGGAGCCTGAGAAGTTGGCTCTGTTTGCTGCCTGTGGCCTTGTGAGCAAGGAGTTCCACCAGGACTGGCTACATAATCTCATCAGGACAAAGTGAAAGTACACGGCCCCGTGACTACTGATCGGAGTCCTCGGGAGGTGGAGATGGGTAAGCGCTTGACTGAGAGCTGAAAAGTCGCAGGTTTGAGTCCACCCAGAGACGACTCTGGCAAAGCAGAGGTCAACGACAAAGAGGAGGACCCTCAACGAGGTGGGTTGACACAGTGGCTGCAGCAATGGGCTCCAACACGCCTGCTGCTGCGAGGACAGTGCCGGCCCAGGCAACCTCTCGCCCTGTTCTACGTGGGGCTGCTGTCGGTCGGAACCGGTGCGACCGCACCTGACATCAAAAGAGCAGAGGTGTAGCCACGGAAAATGGAACCCATGGCCAGCACTGGAATCGCGCCCCTGTCAGACACCGGACACCCATCTTGTGGACTACTTCACCATCATGTCAGCTCAAAACCACACGCCAAGTGCGTCCATCTTTCACTTCCCACACTCGGGCACTCCACGGACATGACAACAGCCCCTTCCTTGCCTTCACGGATGACAATTTCTCTATGACAGGCTCCAAGTCCCTGTTTTCAATTACTTCTCTTTCTATTCCCAGCAAAGCAAGATCACCACCCATGCACCCTGACCCAGGGAGGCCCTCAGACACAGAGGTGTTAAGTTTTAACTCGCTGCGTGCTCTCCCACCAAAAAAGGCCTGCCCGTCTGCTTCTGCAAACTCAGCCGTTGTAAACCCTACAGAGCGGAGCACAGCTCACCAGGGCAACACACGGGCCACCGTGAGCAGAACTGTCTCCATGGCAACTGGTGGTTAAAGGGTTAGTCAGATGGTTACGGCAGAGCGTTCAACTCTGTGTGCAGCCCTTCTGAGCACGGGGTTCTGTGTGAGGTCACCCCAACTCTCCTGACAGCATGGCTACCGGCGACTCCTCTAGGGCAGGTGGGACAGCCGTGGCCGAGGCCTCTAGTGCCAGCCCTGGGGACGGACACACAGCTGTCCCGGAATAGTCTGAGCTCTTGGGGACCACCCAGAAAACGGTTTCCTCTCTGGTGACTCACCCCCCTCGACTCTGCTCTTTCCCAAACTGGTCTCCTGTCCCTGAGCTCCAGCTTGGGCAGACTCGGTCACTTCCTGGGCACTCTGGGGCCACAAAAAAGCCTGCTGTGGTTGAGGACAAAAGTCCAACCTCAAACCCGACTTCACACTCATCTCCCCTGCCCTCCCGCTGGGCCGGCCAGGCCCTGACCTCAGAGACCTGCAGGGGTGGGGGCTGCTTCCTGCCCTGTTCCCCCCTCTCTACTTTAGGGGTCAGGGTTGTTGTTGTTTGCCGTTGAGTCGGCCGCGACTCATAGCGACCCCTCCTTGGGTTTCCGAGGCAGCATCACTACAGAAGTAGGATTGCCCAACCTTCCTTCTGAGGGGTGGCTGGTGGGTTTGAACTGGGTCAGGAGGAGGGGAAAAAGGAAGGGAGGAGGGGAAGGGGCAGGTTGAGGAAGAAGAGGGGGAGGGGGGGAGAAAAAGGGAGAGGAGGAGGAAGAAGAAGAAGGAAGAAAACAGGCTCTCAATTAACCTGAGCCTCTGAAGCCTGCCTTTGACTGTAACGAGTCCTGAGTGATGCAAACGGTGAGCATACTGAGCTGCTAACGGAGAGGTCAGTGGTTTGAGTCTACGCACAGATGCCTGGGAAGAAAGGATTCTAGGATCTTGCAGGAACCAGACCAAAAACCAAACCCACTGCTGTCGAGTCAATTTCAACTCATAGTGAGTCTGGAGGACAGAGCAGCACTGCCCCAGAGGGTTTCCAAGGCTGTGATTTTTATGGAAGCCACTGGCACATCTTTCTTCCTCCCAGGAGCTGGCGGGTTCCAGTCAGCCCAGCTATTAACCTCTGTGCCTCTGCAGGGTTGTGACCAGAAGTTCCCACCTGCAACCACAAGGTGGCACTCGTGCCACACCAGGGAACCAGGGGTCATGTCTGCGGAAATTCAGCTGAGACACTGGCAATCTCCTCTGACAGCCACAGGTGAGTTCTCCGGCCTCCCTTTGTCGTCATTAGCACCTGGAGTTCCTGTTAACAGAGCTAGACAGGTGTGACCAGATTGGGGGCCCAGGGGCTCCATCCTCAGCTGTGGGGAGCTGTAGGTAAGAAACAGGAGGGAGACGCTGGGGGTGAGTTCCTCAGCCCTGCGGGGTCCATCTGCCCACCAGCTCACCCTTGCTGTCCAGGGAAGGCTGGCTGGGCAGGCCATTCTTCAGTGTCACCACCAGACATCGCCTTCCCAGGCTGCCCACTCCGGCAGGACCCCTCAGCTGGCCCAGAGAAGCCAGCCCGGCTCCCACCACAGCTCTAAGGGAATCGGTCCTGTTTTCTCGGCCAGGATCACAGTTCGTGGTGCCTGCTCCAAGTCCAGAGTTCTCCTTTGTCGTGAGCTGCGTCCCTGAAAAAGTTATGTTGAAATTCTAACCCTGTACATGTGAACATGACCTTGTCCAGAAGCAGGGTCTTTGAAGACGTTATCCGTTAGTCAACATGAGGTCATACTGCGGGAAGCTTGATACCATCTGAGTTGCTATTAGTGGCCGTGAGTCAACTTACACTCACACTGACCCCATGTGTGCAGCATAGGAGTGCTCCAAAGGTTTCCAAGACTGGGAACTCTCAGAAGCCAATTTCCAGGCCTTTGCAGACTCCCAAGTCCCCACCTGGAGGAGGGCTGGACAGCTTCAGACACAGCCCCCGTGGGGTTGCTGGGGTAGCTGCCATCTGACTCAGATGATTAGCCTGGGTGGCTCCTGGACTGAGCCTGGTGACTCTCAGCCTCTCACCCTCCATCTGTGGTATGACAGGGCTGAGAGCAGCCCCTGGGACTGGATCAGGCAATACCAGCAGAATTCTTAGCACACTGCCCTAGAAACATCATGCAAGCCACATGTGTAGCCAACAGACAATGTGAAAGCTTCTAATTGCTGCACAATAGTTAGCAAGCTTGGCTGCTAATCAAAAGGTTGGTGGTTCAAGTCTACCCAGAGGCAAAAGTCTTTTATAGAAAATGTGTCCAAGGAAGCCAACTTACGACTTGTCAAAAAGCACCCGGGCAGGTGTCATCATGAAATAGAGCTCTTATTTCCATTCTTCAGGAAAAGAAACCCATACATTCGTGTGCAGTCAGAGGACAATGTTCGTGTGATGCCAGATGCAGTTTTGGATGCCATGGTAACAGCATACGTTGGACCAGACTGTCTCACCTTGCGCACAATTTCTGAAACAAACAAACAATTGCCTTCTGAGCTGCCCATGCTTCAGGCCTGTTCTCACTCTTCCCGGAATGTTTCCCTGCTCCGCTGTCTGTCAGGCTCCTTTTATCCTTCTATACCTAGCTCAAATGTCCCCTCCTTCCCATGGGCACTTGCTTGCTGACTTCCTCACCCCATTCTCAGGCATCCAGGACACATGGTGTGTGCTTTTATCTGAGAGCTGACTTTGTTCCTGCATGAATAAGAGGCTCACCTGTCTGTCTTGTGAGTCTTGGATACCTGGGGTCTGTTTTCTCATTGCTGATGTGAGGTCTGGCACTGTGAGCTTCTCGGGCAATGTCAAGGGATTGAATGGAAAGATATGTCAGCAAGAGACTGTTGGGAGAGGCTAATCCTTCAAGTGACCTGCTCTATCCTTTGAGAGGCCAATCTGGAGTGGAACTTTGGAGAAAAGCCAGGACTTTCTTCCTACAAAGCTAATCACACCTGGTCTCGGCACAGTGAACCCTCCCACTCAGCGTGTCTGTGCTCTGACGGAACTGGCTATGTCATGGCATGAGGTCCATGATATTATTGTTCAAAATGATTCACCTCCCTGCCCCTTGACTTTGGGCTCTCCTGAGACTTGCTTTGGCTAGTGGACTATGAGCAATGTCATGGGGGCAGAGGTTTGAAACGATGGGGTTGGACTTGTCCTCCTGTCCTCTTGCTTTTCACCATGAGAAGAACATCTCATGGTGGGCTACAGCAGTGTTGGTTACTTTTTATTTCTACCCAACCTGCAGTTGGAGCCAAGTCCAGGAAGCCCAGCGTGGGTTGACAGGATGCAATATATGCTTGTTGTTTAATACCGCTGAGAGTTTTGGTGTCTATTTGCTGTGCAGCTAAAGGAGATTGATCTGTAGCATCTAAACTGGGTAGTCCACTTCCCACACTCTGACACTCCATGGGTGGTGGCAGCTTGTGCATTGCTGTAATGCCAGAAGCCATGCCACTTGTATTTCAAATCCCAGCAGGGTTGCCCATGGTGAACAGGTTTCGGTGGAGCTTGCAGACTAAGACAACCTAGGAAGAAAGGCCTGGCTATCTACTTCTGAGAGTCAGCCATTGAAAGCCCTGTGGATCACAGCAGAATACTGTCTGTTACGGAGCTGAAAGAGGAGCCCCCGAGAGTGGAAGTCTCCCCACATACACAGTGGCTTCAGCAGTGGACTTAAGCAGCCAACGGCTCTGAGGGGTCACAGTACCGGGTGGTGTTTCATTCTGTTGGACACAGGCTTGCCACGAGTCGGAGCTGACAAATGGCCACTAACAACAACAAACATGAGTGGAAGCTGAGCCACTGGCATATGGAATCAGGGTCCTTTCTCTTCTCTTTGCCTTCACCGCTGCGTGGGGAGCCACTGCTCTGCCTGGGGCACAGGAGTCCTGAGGGAAAGCATTGAACCAGGTACGAGTGGGCTTTAGACACGTGGATGTGTCCAGAATGGATAGAGAGGGATGAGGGTGAGGAAGTAGAAGCCAAGCTGAGAGGAGAGGGAATGGGGTCCCCAGAGGGAAACAACTCACCACGAGCAGGATTGTTGGGCATTTTGGAAAAACTCAGAAAGCAGCTCTTAGGGGGAGGAGTGGTGCTTTTGCCTATAGCGTAAGCCTGAACTAGACTGACACTGCCGCCACGGCCACGGCCACGGCCACGGCCACAGCTACAGCTGCCACCACCACTGACATCACCACCCTCACCACCATCATCAGTACCACTTCCACATCTACCTCCACCTTCACCACCACCACCTCTACCACCACCTCCACCTCCATTACCTCTGCCTCCACCACCACCATGTCCACCACCACCACCACCACAGCTGCCACCATCACTGACACCACCTCCATCACTGATACCACCTCCATCACAACCACCACCACCACCAC